GTATGAATTTTCAATATTGAAACCAAAAATTCAAACATTGTGATCTTTATTAGTATTTTCAACATATATTGGAAATCATTAAGTCGAATAAAGCCATTACAACAAGGCTCCAAACTTATACAGATGGCATTCAAATGAGAGAAGAAAGGACATCAGATCTTTTTCTCACTGTGCACATGTGCCCAGAGAAAGGGCCATGGGAACACAGACAGAGGACAATCGTTTGGGAAGCAGGAAGGGAGCTTTCACTGGAAAACAAAATTTCCCACACTTTCATCTTAAATTTCCTGCCTCCAAATCTGGGAGAACATAGAATTCTGAGAAGTTACCCAGCCTACAGTATTTTACTATTGTATCCCTAGAGAATATGATATTCAAATTGGTTCACAGATGAACTCTAATTCATAGTCATTTAGAAGTCAGTGAACTATTGCATAGCTTCTATCAGATGGGCTCCTCCTGATACTTTTTCTTTCTTCATCATGGTTCTATGCCTCTCAGTGATCCATTTCTCTGGTCTTTGCTCTTAATTTTATACATTTTTACTCTCTTTTGAGTAACTGTTTAAGTTTAAAATTTGGCTATTACTATCCAGTTAACTTTTAGTATTGGCTTTAACTGTTACTGAAATGTACAATGATTAATTTGCTACCAATCAGAGCAGTGTTAATGGGAACCTGAAATGATTCAGTCTGCTCCATTGCACATTCTGCACTCCACGTCCAGTGGTGCATAAGGCAATGTTTTCTCTATGATCCAGCTATTTTCTCTCTCGGTTAGAGTGGCTGAACTGCCTTGCTTGGATTTGAGTGATAAGAGAATAAATTCCAGGCTGACTGCTGCATACAGGACCAGGTCTACTCCAGTCTCTGTGCAAGTCGTTGATTGGTGTGTTGTTTTCATGATGCTTATCGGATGTCCCCCTACCCACACTCTTGCTTCTCCCTCCTGGGCATTAGGTGATTAATAGTTTCAGGAGCCTCAAGTTGCATCCGTTTACCTATAAATGTGTCAAATTTATCCCTTTTGGCAGAGTAGTACACCCTTGTACAAAAATACCACATCTTCTTTATTGACTCATCCATTGATAGGTATTGGTGCTTATTCCAAGTTTTATTCATTACAAATTGTGCTGCCATAAACATGGGTGTTCATATATTACTGTGGTGTGATGCTTTCAATTCTTACGGGAAGATAACAAGATGGGGGATAGGACCATACGCATGTTTAAATATCACATTGTTTCTCTGGTGTGAGAATCCGAAAGTGTAAATAAGGACCAAAATATATAATAGATATAGGGAAATGAGAAGAGGAACAAGAGAGGAGGGCAAAGAAGGAAGGGAAAAGAAAAAAGAGAATAGTAGAAATAAATGGAAACAAAGCTTTTGTAAATAAGGAGAGGAAGAGGGATTGGAGGGAGGGGAAGGGATTGAGAACAAAAAGAAGAATTAAGATGTATTATGTACAGGTACAAATTCCCTATGATGAATGTGATCATTATGTAGATCTAAAATGTACCAATAAAAGTAACAATGAAAAAATAGTAGTGTCAGAAGCAGCTGTTGTGATACCCAAGCACTAAGGAAGGTAGTCCTCAGAGGTTTGTATCCTCCAGACCATTAACTGAGGGTTCTTGATGGAAGAAACATGAATTTTCTGTCATTTGCCTCTGTTTGGTGGAAGACATAGAGCAGCTAACAAAACAAGCTGATAGGATGGTGTTTAATGGTGTCCTTGAGAACACCTATTAAGAGAGCTTTAAGTATTCTGGGTGAATTCATACTGAAATTTGCTCCTTTGTTGGAGAAGGGCTAGCCTTTTCTGAATTTGAATGAATAATTATTTTTAATAATTGGATCAGAGAAATATGCATGTGTGATTTTTGCTCTTCTGTGAACCATTTGACTGGAAAGTTATAACAAGTATCTGCCGTTTGTATCCATTAAGATAGTAATTCTCGTTTCATCTCTTTAAATATAAAACTGTAGACATGAAGATTATTTTATCAATATTAGAAGAAATATTTATTTATAACACAAAAGTGAGGTTCATTTTCAAACTTAAAACAAAAAGGTAAAAGAAAGATGTTATTTATTTATATTTGCATTCTTCACTGGGCTTTGTACATGGTGTGGGTTTGAGAAACATTTATTAAATTTGTTACTACATATTTGTATTTCTTAAACTTTTTTTGTTTCTAAATATGATCTTTTACTCTTTAAATTTACCAACAGACTTGAACAATTCTTAGCTTTTCAGTTGCAGTATTTACATCTAGAATTGGACAATATTGAAATTAGTTATGTTGCCCACACAAGACATGCATAGTAAGTGGAGAGCAAAGTTGCAGGTGAGAAGTCTGAGGTACAAACCACTGTTGTGAAGGCAAGAATTTACTGTCCATAAAGTTTCTATTGCTACAGTATTAAGTAAAGGCAGTTTTCATAAATCTTTAAGATGGGTACTCAGTGCTTCATAGAAATAAACACTTGTCAAATTATGATTAATGATAGTGCAAATATTGATGTTGATGAGCATGTTGGTGATGATGAGAGATCCTATTAGTCATCACACTTGACTTCTTATTAATATATTCTTAACTACCTTCTAGAAGTTCCCTGTCCTGGGAAAAGCTTCTGTAGCATATTTTTCATCTGTTTATACAGCTAGAATTCATCAAAGCACCAAAAGGAAAAGTATTTGACAATGAGTGTATATAGAAAGCTATCATTTCTGGCTCTTGTCTTTACTGCAAGACTTTATCCAAAAAAGAAAAAAAATAATAATAAAGGAAAGGTAAAGGGATGATTTGTTCTCCTAACCTCTATATCCAAATTTATATTTTCTTAAAATTGAATTCATTACATTGAATGAGTAACTAAATAGAAAGGGTGATTCTGCTTCCTGCAAACAGAAGATTTATTTTATTAGAAGGGTTTTGTCTTAGTTTTTTTTTTTTTTTTCTTGTTGGTGGGACAAAATGCCTGACACCCACAAGTTAAAAGTGGAAATATTTCTTTTATGTCAGAGTTTCTAGAGGTTTTAATCTATACTCAGCTGGCTCCAAGGCAGGGCAGCATTGGAAAGGAGAAACAGTCCATAGCATGGTAGACAAGAGGCAGCAAAGCAACAGCAGTGGGCCTCACTTTCTTTTTTAATCCATAAAGGCTACAATACAATTGGTTGGTACCACCCACACCCAGGGTGGGCCTTCCCATTATCCCAGAACTATGCTAAAGCAATCATTGGGCTAATTTAGTTATTGCATATGTTCAATCAATATTCACATAATCTAAATCTAGCTACCCTATGAGCACATTAGGCTTTGGGGGTGAGTCTAGATATAAGCCGTGACAGCTTCCAAGAGGTAGAGTTCTGGAAACTCTAAAACTTGTAAATATGTATGTATGTGTATGTGTCCAAGATACTCCAATCTCTTTGTGTTCAGTAGAGATTTCTAAGTATTAGGAATGGATTTGATTTGTTAAAAGTTATGATAATTTCAATTTTTGTTTGTTCTCAACTACAACTAATAAATTAAACAGGACATTAGAAAAAAGTACTTAAAAAGTTATTAGAGACTGTATTATTTGTGTTTATGAGAAAATGTAATAGTACCTTTCAACTTCCAGTAATATATAAAAATATTTTCTGATATTTAAAAAAAGGAAAAAATCTATGATAATTTGGTTTGTCAATAGGGGTCTTCTGTATCTATGAACTCTCAAGTTCATTTAGGCCTGAGATTAAGAGGTGTTATATAGCTATTTGACATTGCAATTATTTATTGTTTCTCAATTTAAATGTTTTTTTCCTAATTAAAAGCTTCCTAATGGTAATATGTAGTTGTTGATTTGCAAATTACTCTTAGAAATAAGGATATCCAAAGTTCAGTAACCCGTTTTAAACCTTTTAAATTCTCTACTGATATTTGAATCCTGAAATTAAAAATCTATACTAAGTAGATGAGCTAATAGAAATGGTTTCCATATTTTCTTGCATATACATCAATGAAGTTATTGTGATGACTTTCAGCTCAATTAACTAGCTACTAGAAATGGACATATCTATCATAATTGATATTTAAAATATGTGTCCCTTGTAGTAACAGGTATATTATTGCCCAATTATTTAAATAAAATTATTTTAACTGATGAATACAAATGTACAAATTGTACATCTTAGTGGGGATCCATGTTATAATTTTATACATGTATATATTATATATTGTTTAAATGAAATATATTTATATCCTCAAATATTTACCATTTTTGTGGTGAAATCTTTCAAATAGCTTTTGAAATATAAACAACATTATTATTTTCTACACTCACAGAATACACAATAGACTATCAGAAATTCTTACTCCAATGTAACCAAACTCAGAACCTGTTAATCTCCCTGCTACCCTTACTTTACTCTTCCTGGCCTCTACCAACCAACATTGCACCATCAACTTCTATGAGATTTACTCTTTTAGATTCCAGTATGAATGTGATCATGTCATACTTGTCTTTCATCAGTTAATGAACACTTAGGTTTTTTCCATTTCTTGACTATTTTAAGTAGTATTGATATGAATATAGGAGGGTAGATGTCTTTTTTACATATGGATATCTTTTAATTTGGATATATACTCAGTAGTGGAAAGTTGGAAGTTCAATTTTTTCCAATTTATTACATGGCTGTAATAAGTTATATTCCCACCAACAGTGTGCCAGAGTATTTCCCATATCTTCTGTAGCCCTTATTAAAATGAGTTTTTGTGTGTCTGTGCATGCAATAGCCATTCTTACTGGGATGATGTGATATTTCATCATAGTTTGGATTGCATCTTAGCCCAGCACTTGGACTAGGATTATCCTCAGTGACATAATGTACTCTTTAGATCCCTGTGAAATTCTACATTCCAAAGGAAAATGGAGTCACCAGATAATAGACATGGCCTTGAACTCTGTAAGAGAAAAATACTAAAGTTCTATTGTCTTATTTTCCAGGTGCATATGTGTTCCAGGTCAAGGCCACAGATGCCGATGATCCGACCTATGGAAACAGCGCCCGAGTCGTTTACAGCATTCTTCAGGGACAACCTTACTTCTCTATTGATCCGAAGACAGGTAAATTTTTTATTAGAGACAGCATTATCATCGGTCCTTCAAATATTTAAGCTTTAATTAAATTTTGGCATGGGAAATTGCCTCTTCTAATATAGCAATAAAGATTCGGTGAGCCACACATTAAGCAAATAAGATAGCATCTTACCTGCCTGCTGCAGAACTATTTCCTTTTGATTGAGTTTTGTGTAAATATAAACCTCTTCCCATTATATTTGTGAAGACCAAACTTCTCAGCTAGGGATTCTGTTTGTCTTATTTTAAATTTTCAGACATGCTCTTAGTGAGGGGAAGATTTGAAACACCAAGATCATTGGTGTTATTAGCCTGTGTCTTTAAAGTAAATCTTATTTCTAAATAAAAAAATAAATAAATTGCAGATTTTAAAACTAATATCATTTGAATATCATAGAAAGCACGGGAGGATATGCACATAGGAGATTTTATGTCCATTCCTCTATTCACCTTTTTCGGTTGTTGTTGTTATACTGGGGATTGAACCCTAGGGCTTTTACATGGTAGGCAAATATGCTACACCCCAAGGCCTAAGTTCTTTTTAAATGAAATAAAGTCCCTTTCAATACAATCTGTCTTTGAATGTAGGATATTCTGTTAAAGAGATTCAGTGACATTGACTCAGGGAAATGTAGCTACTCCATGTCATAATGAAAGCTGAAACCCCAAAATGTGTCATTCTAGCAACACTTCTTATATAGTATGCCATTACATATTGTAATATAAACTGAACATTACTTTTCATATTAGTTTAATATATTGTGCAAATTATCAACGTAGCGACTATGTTACTTTGTATTTTTTGTAGTACTGGTGATTGAACTCAGGGAACATTAAGTTGTGTCCCAATGCTTTCTTTTTTTCTTAATTCTGGGAGTGTTCTGTTAAGGAGCCCAGGCTGACCTCATACTTGTGATTCCCCTGCTTAAGCTTCCTAAGTAGCATGGATAATGGGCACATGCCACAATTCCTATGATTTAAATTTGTAAATTAAACATTAAAGACTAAAATCAATACTAAAGTTATACATTGTATGCACTGTAAAGTTATACAGAAACACAATGGGCTAAAAATTTCAAAGTTTTCTATTTCCAATGTGATATATTTAAAATTTACTACATCCATGACATAGTAATAATTAACAATTAAACATTTATTAATGTTGCATAGAGCACACAGACTGTTAATGGTGGTCAATTAAAATAGAAATGCAGAACTTGCAAAATTTCCAATGAACTGAACAAACCATCTTCTCCTCTCTTCACTTCTTACACTCCTCTTCAAGCCAGGAGGGCATCAAATCTATGAGGAAGCAGGGAGCCACTTCCGTATATACAATCTAAAAAAGTAGAATTATTACATTCTATTACATCAGTACTTCAAAAAACTCCTAAGGAGTATGAGTTAGAGAAAAATCTAGAAGGGCTAAGCCTCGTTTGCTTTGACAGAGTGTTGGAAATCAAAAGTCAAAGGGTCAAGTGATAACAATGAGTGTGTAATGAGGACATGACACAGGTCATTTTTCAGGAAAGATGTCAGTAAATATAGGAAGCTGTATGGAAATATTAACTTCCAAATTTACTTTAATGAGAAATCTGACTATAAATGGATGTGTGGACACTACATATCCTAGGTCCTTTCAGCTTCTGAGGAATAATCCTCAGAGATAGAATTACTAGAAGAAACAGAAAAGAGGCTATATGACTTTTGTGAAGAAATAAGAAACTTTTGGTTATGTTTTTTATCCCCTGAGTAACTTCGTTGATGGTAAAGTTACAGTGTGTTAACTATAATTATTCTCTTGTTATTTTGTTTTATTTTTTGACAAAGTAACAAAGAGGGTCAGGATTAAGGTCTTCCTATGGTATTGCAGTAATGAATTCTATAGAATCTGAGAGTTTAGATATTCAGAATAAGAGTGAACCAGGAAAGATTAAAAATTAAGTATTGCTAAAAATTCTGCGTGATATAAATGAGCTCCATATGTAAGGGGATCTGGAGAGGGGGGAAATGAGAAGGAGAGGTGGGAAAGAGGAAATGTAAAGGGATCGAGATAAGGTATGTGTATGTGGCGATTCCCCACAATAAATATATTCATTATGTATTGCAAACATATACTAATAGAAAACTTTAAAGAGAACAAAGTGGAATTTAGGGATAAATCCGGAGTTGAGAATATAATTTCTATAGTCAGATTAATATTAGATGATATCAGTTATGTGACTTACAACATATGCTGTCCCCTTTACTCGATCAAGATAAAATTTAGATTCATTCTAACGCTTATGAAAAGCATTATTTTACAATAGAATATGTCTATACCTACTGTGGCTTTGTAATTTTGCGTTTATATTTTTATAGCGTGATTCTTATTTAGAACTAAAGGTGAAACAATTCTGGCATAAATTACACAATAGATTTTTGAAGCATTGATTTTCACTGGAGACAGAAGTCTTGATGCTAACAGTGCCTCAGACCACTAGACAGGAAAGGAGTGGATGATGAGGCACTTCATTAAGAGAATGAAAACTAGTTCTCCATGCACAGAAACCATTAAGAAGACTTTTGTCAAATTTATCACCTTGCAGTAGATAAAAGTAAATCAAAAATCAAGGATGATTGGAATTTCTCCAAAAGAGTATCCATTTGTTCCAGCCATATAGCTTCCTTTTATGATTCCTTTTGCTGTTATTAAATAAAATGCATGAAAGGCCAATATTATCTGAAATTTTCCACATTTGAATATAGAAAACAGTTTAAAAC